CAATCTCTGTGCTTACCCCCCCCCCCTTCAGGTGTGGCTTCCCATCTACAGCAGGGGGAGCCTGGCTTACCTGCTTCCCGGCCGCGGAGGCAGCAGCCCAGCTCAGACAAAGGCAGGAGCCCTCCTGCAGACCCCCGGGAGCGGATGAGGCGGTTCTTCACCTCCCGGAGACCAGACAGCCTCTTCTTGACGTGGAACCTGGATGAGAAATCTGTGTGGAGTGCACCTGAGCCCCGCCCCCCCACGCTTTCCTCTACAAACTGAGGCCACGCCTCCTCACATGGAATCAGAGTAATGCATGTAAATTGTAATTGTATTAAAAAAGCAACTATGTGGGGCCCTAGCCGGTTTGCTCAGTGGATAGAGCGTTGGCCTGTGGACTGAAGGGTCCCAGGTTCGAGTCCAATTAAGGGCACATGCCTGGGTTGCGGGCTCAATCCCCAATAGGGGGCGTGCAGGAGGCAGCCGATAAATGATTCTCATCATTAATGTTTCTGTCTCTCTCTCTCTCTCCCTCTCCCTTCCTCTCCCTGAAATCAATATACATATATTTAAAAAATAAAAAACAACTTTATGGGTAAATAAAATGGATTTTCAAGATAAAACAATATAACCACAAAAAATAAATTAATTAAAAACTGGCGGGGGGGGGGGAATGGACACATATGTAATACCCTTTGTAATAAAAAATTTAAAAAAAAAAGAATAAAAGAAATTATTTTAAAAGCAAAAAAAAAAAATGAGCCTGCTATATTTAAGCTTCTCAAAATATTAAATGTTAAATCTGTTTTAAAAAAAAAAAAACTGGGGGTGGGGAGAGACCAGGGAAAATATTACTCCTAAAAAACAATAAAAATGGCCATTGTAAAGCAGCTGGCTTCCCCCCCTTTCCTCTCTCGCCCTTGCCCTCCCCCCCACGCCACGCCTTCCTTAAGGTGGACTCTGTTGGTATGAGCTGCCCAGGTGAAGCCCCGCACTGTAAGGGAGCCGAGACCCAGCCAGACAAAAGGAGCATCCAAATTCATCGACACATTCTCAGGCAGTTCAATCGCAGCAACGTAACCACCAGCTGAGCCGAGTGCCCACAGACCTGCACAGAGGTGGCGAATGTCTGCGGTGATGGTGGGATACAAGCTTCGGCAGGTGCAAACACAAAGTCCAATCAAAGGCCCAGACGCGCCCTGATCGGTTTGGCTCAATGGATAGAGCCTCGGCCTGCGGACTGAAGGGTCCCAGGTTCGATTCAGGTCAAGGGCATGTACCTTGGCTGTGGGCACATACCTAGTAGGGACACTGCAGGAGGCAGCTGATTGATGTTTCTCTCACACTGCAGGAAGCAGCTGATTGATGTTTCTCTCTCATCGATGTTTCTAACTCTCTATCCCTCTCCCTTCCTCTCTCTAAAATATCAATAAAACATATATGTATATATATTTTTAAAAAGCCCCAGATGCATCACACCTAGATGAATGAAAGGTAAAGGGAACTGGCCACGCCAAAGGTAGGTCCGAAGCAGATCAATCCACTATTGGGGTTCCCAGGGTCAACAAACCTCTCCATGAGCTGCTCCCTTAGTGTGGAACTCGTGCATCTTGTGACCACATCAATGAGCCTGTCCTCTCTTGGTTATTCCCACACACTTTGCGGTAGAGTGTGCACCGCCTCCACATCCCACTGTGCCACGCTCCCGAATCAGTGCGTCACTGTCAGGCTCTTCCTCTGCCTCCTCCCTAGCGAAGTCCTTCCAGATGCTTTTTGTTCAAAGCACTGGAATTCCCTTGAACTGGACTTTGATATTCAGAGCGGAAGTCTCTGCCCGTTGAGGCTGCCATGCAGACGGTGGAAATGAGGCTAAGCACACAGGCAATTACAAAAGCTGGAGCAAGCCCTGGCCGGGTAGCTCAATTGGTTAGAGCCGTGGTTGGCAAACCGCGGCTCAGGAGCCACATGCGGCTCTTTGGCCCCTTGAGTGTGGCTCTTCCACAAAATACCACGTGCGGGCACACACGTACAGTGCGATTGAAACTTCGTGGCCCATGTGCAGAAGTCGGTTTTCGGAAAGGAGACAGAAGAAACAAGTACACAAGACGAGTGTGGATGGGAGAGTTGGAAGGGGGCGGCCTCAGCGAATGTACCTCAATCAGATTGAGGACGTTTTTAGCAAAGGCCAGCTTAGGAGGACCCTCATTACGTTAATAACAATGTACCTACCTATATAGTTTAAGTTTAAAAAATTTGGCTCTCAAAAGAAATTTCAATCGTTGTACTGTTGATATTTGGCTCTGTTGACTAATGAGTTTGCCGACCACTGGGTTAGAGCATTGTCCGTTTGCAGGTTCAATCCCTGGTCAGGGCATGTCAAGGATCAACCAAAGAATGCATAGGTGGGTAGAACAACAAAGTGATCTCTCTCTCTCTCTCTCTCTCTCTCCCTTCCTGTCTAAAATTTTTTAAAATAATTAAAAAATTTTTCAATATTTTAGCAAAAAAGCTATTCATTCTGGATTCATACCGCTCACCCATCCTCCTGCTCCACCCTCCAATCACCAATTTCACCAGGAGATTTGGTGTGGTGCTGTGCAGAGAGAAACAACATTGGGCAAGGAGTCCAAAGACCCAAGTTCATGGCCCAGTTCTGAGCTGTTTATTCCTGAGTGGCTACTGAAAAACACTTGAGCCTCCATTCTCTCATCTATAAAATGGAGCAAGTAATATTGGACTTGCCTGTTTCACTCGACTGTTGGGGCGGGGAAGAGGAGAGAAAACTTCTAGAAAATACACTATGAATAAAAGGGCGAGAAATCACTTGCGTAGTTTACTCTGGTGATGAGTACATGGAGGCCGCAAGAGAAAGAGATCCGTGTTTTAGCCAGCGTGCAACATTTTCCTTCCAATCTTCTAAACGTAAGTGGTTGCGATTGCCCCAGATTTGTTCCAATCTTCGAAGAGATTAAATTTATGGATTTGTGGCATCACGTATCATTCCAGCCAATCCTGACCCATATTTCTCTCCATTAGGTGCATGTAACAACAGTACAAAGAGGTGTTGTAACTTTAATTGCTTGCAAAGTGTTTTGAAATCCTTAAATGAAAAAGCTCAGTGAAGTCCAAAGCATTCGCCCTGTTAGTCGGCTGGATGCCCAAGGAGCCAGGCTGAGCCTCATCTGAGGTCCCTGGAGCAAGGACACACTGTAATGGATGTTCTCAGACTGAGGCCTGCCCCACGCATTTGGGGTTGAAGGGTCCTATTCATTGTATGGCCCCAGACCAGAAAATTTCAACCTGTGTGCCACGGCACACTGGTGTGTCGCAAGAATTTTGAAAACATGACTAATTTTGAAAACATGACTAATTTTGAAAACATGACTAATTTTTAAATACCTGACTATTTTGTCAGGGGCACTGACCTCTTTTCCCTTAGATTGTCAAATAAAATAATGACAACAGCCAGCACAATAATAGCTGTCTGGTGTGGATGAATCAAAATTTATACCTATTTTTTTGGTCAGATCAGCAAAAAATATATTTGGGGTGTGCCACAGGATTTTAATAATCAGTCTATGTACCGGGAGATGAAAAGGGTTGAAAATCGCTGCCCTAGACCAACCCCAGCTTCTTCGTTTCTAAGCGTACGCAGGCCTCTGGCCTTTCCCGCGTTATCCTGATGTTCCTTTTCCGCTTCTTTCCTTGAGTTCCTGAGTCATGAGGCCGGAGTGGCACTTACTTCAGTGTCATAGGTCTGCTTTCCAGGTGACCTCAGCCTGAGTCCTAGAAAAGGGGAGTGTGTCATCGGTAACTTCTCTAGGCCTCTCCAGTTGAGCCTAGAGTGGATGACTTCGCCCTTATTCCAATTTTCACAGCTAAAACTTAAGAGAGAAAATTCTGTACCACAGTGGGCACCCTTGGAGGGGGTGTCAGGCTGCCACTAGAAGGGGCAGAAGGGGCTCCTGGCGCTGTTTTCTTTCAAATTTTTTTATTTTTTGTTAATCCTCACCCAGGTGTATTTTTCCATGGGTTTTTAAAAGAGAATGGGAGGGAAGGGGACAGAGAGAAATATTGATGTGAGAGAGACACATCGATTGGTTGCCTCCTGCATGTACCCCGACCCAGGCCAGGGATTGAGCCTACAACCGAGGTACGTGCTCTTGACCGGAATCAAACCGGGGACTCTTCCGTCCTCAAGCTGATGCTCTGTCCACGGAGCCAGACCATCTAGGCCTGTTTTGTTTTCTGGACCTGGCTGCTCCTTATGCCAGTGTGTTCAATGTGTTAAAATTGAGAACTATACACGTATAGGTACATTTTTTTCTATGTATTTGTTACTTTACAATATAAAGTGTTTTTAAAATCACTCTAGATGCGAATTGACTTTATTTAGAATAGATTCTGGTGTAATAGTAAAGCCATAAACCTAATGAAGTCAAAATCGTTTCTTTCTCTACTTTTGTGATTCAACATGTTTTTTACTTCCATGTTTACACTTTTAGAAAAAAAAGGAAATGCCTCAGTTATTTAAATGAAGTCTAGTGGGTGGGAAGAGGGCACTTCTCAACAGGAAGCCTTGGGAAGCCTTCAGGAATGTACATCTGAAATTACAGCAAAATCCTGTGGGACGCATATATACATTTTTCTGAGATGTGTCCAGAGCCCTCATCAAATTATCAAGGGCCTTTGACCTAAAAAAAAAAGACCAAAAGCCAGAGGGATGCTGACCGCTCAAGGCTTAATTATGTTTGCACCTCTTTCTAAATTCAACCCATAGCCCTTGCCAACCTGATTCTACCCAATGGGCTTCACCCATTACATGGGTTTGCCCACTTCAGTGGAAAAAAGTGAATGGATCCCGCCAAAAGTCATATTAATAATCATATCTAATAACCCTCATCTGTCTACTTCCGTTTCCCCCAGGAGATTCTAAGCTGGAGGCCGGATGCCTGCATCCCCCGGCCTGACAGTGTACAAGGCAGGGGCAGGCTGTACTCAAAAGACAACACAGCGCCTACTTACGAAACCAGATTTATTACAATTTCTCTACAAGTCAAAAACAGCCGTCTCACTGTTCACATATATACACATGTACAGGAAGGATCTAGTGTTTCTAGCTTTCCGGGCAGAAGCCCCAGCCAGCCCGGCCAGAGTCCTCAGCCGGGTAATGTATCACAGATACAACAGTCGAGCAACCACGAGAGCGTTAGTGCCACAGAGGCCTCTGTCCTCCTTCTCCTCCGAGTCCCATGATTCTGTCAAGGTAATATTGCCAATAATCATTCACATTTCACGTGGTTTTAGACACGCAGGTTATTCAGACAGACACAGACAACAAAACAAGCCTCAGAGCCAAAACAACAACAAAAATATCGAACATATGTATAAAAGGTAAAATATCTGTACAAAGTACACAGTACATGAGGTATACACGGCATTCTTAACAACGCATGTTAGTAGTTTGCCTAGGCATAGCCCTTAAAGATGACTGCCTGTTTTTGTGCCATTTCTCAAAATACAGTATGTTTGGTTTACCCGTTTAACCACCTAATTTCAGTCCTGTCCAAGACACTGACTGGTATTTCATCTGTATTTGTTTTTTAATGCAAGTTGCAATTTCTCTGTCAAGCTCTAGGGAGTGAGTTCCCATCTCTAGAAGCATTCAGAGAACTGGAGTCCCAGTTGTCAAAGAAGCTGGAGGGGGGGATTTCTGCATTGGGAGGTGGCAGAAAGAGAAAAAGAAGTAGGACTAGATGACTCTTAAAGTCCCTTCAGACTTTAAAGATTTGGGGTTTGCTATTTCCTCCAGATGCTGAGTATACAGATGTATTCATGAACCACACCACGTTTGAAATATCAACAACCCATCATGCAAAACTGCAGACACACACAATGCCAAGGGCAGACCATATCCATGGAGGGGGAGGGGGTTGGTTAAAGTGTAATTCTGGGCCTTGGTCTGAGAGCCACCCAAAATTCACCTTCTCTGAAGTTTAACGTTTGCTCTTGGGAGAGAGGAGTGGAGAGACTCCAGATCTTTCTCCTTTTAGACAAAACACTCCACCCTGAGACGGTGCTGGGGGAAAAGTAAAAGATAAATGCTAACATATATTTGAGAGGAACCAAAAAATCTAACGGTTTCCAAGTGCTCAAATCATTTAAAACAACCTGCAGTGTCTCTGAGCTCAGAGCTCTGGCGTAGCCAGGTGTTCGAATCGCTTGTGACACTTCACCGTTAGCTGGTAAGTGCTTTCAGAGCAAGCGTATTCATACTCGTGGCTGGCGGGCCGCACGTCTGACATGCTTGTTTTAGAGTGAAGTGGGAGATGATTCAAGGTCAGGACGAAGGCATTAGTGCAGATGAGGTCTTGGCAGGAAACAGAGGAGAGAGTCTGGGTTCATGGTGCAGGCAGGCTCCTATGCTCCTAAAACAGTCCGCCCCAGAGCGGAGCAGTCATTGCTAAATGTGTGTGAAGGAAGGGTGAGTGTTAAACCAAACCAAAAGAAAAAAGAATTCTCCAATCAGAGAAGCTGAGATAGCGCAAGTCTAGCTACCGAAGACAAGTTCAAAGATGGCAGGTGTGTTGGCCCAAATTACTTGTCACCCGTTTAAAATGGGTATTGTCCCAAATGCCATTGTGCGATCCACTTCCTCTCCCTTATGTTCATGTCACTTGAGTACATGCTGTAGGATGCGTACTCTTTGCCACCGATAGAAGATACAGACCCCCGAATCTGACACAGGGACAGTCGGCGAGGGCTCGATGAAAGGGAAACAGCTTTGCAGGGCAGCCAGTCAGAGGGCACGCTGCTCACATCCACAAAGTCACTCCACACAGCAGTCCGAGGGGCTACAGTCTTCACGCCATCGCAGGTCTGGCTGGCACCGCGTCGAAAGTCCTGTCCATCTTTGGAAATGGAAATGCCATGTGTGAGAATTCTGAGGTTTCTGAGGTTTCTGGGATTAGCAGAAGAAGGAACTAACGTCGCTGTCCTCCTGGTACTCTGGGACAATCTGGTCCGAAGTTCCCATTTCTGAGTCGACGTACCCAGGTTCCAGGACGGACTCGAACCAGGGATGGAGTAAGATCTCCGGGGCGGTGAGTCTCTCGGAGGGCTCCCGCCTCAGGAGGCTGCGAATGAGGCACCTGGCTTTGGGGGAGATGTGGTCAGGAATGCAGAACTGTCCACGGCGGATTTTGGAAAAAAGGGCACTGGGGTCTGAGTCATGGAAGGGGTATCGTCCCACCAAGAGGGTGTAGAGCATCACCCCGAGGCTCCAGACGTCCGCCGCCTTGCCCGAGTAGGTCCCCGTGGTGTTCAGAATCTCGGGGCTCACGTAGGCAGGGCAGCCGTGCTTGTCTGACAGAGCATCGTCTTCCCCCTTGATTATGTGTGTGTCTTCCAGGCTCTCCAGTCGGAGCTGGGTTCTGCAGGAGAGGGAACAAGCCATTACTTCCGGATCAGCTGCTATGCAAAACAGAGCCCTCCCCACAAACAGCGCCCACAGGCACTCCTTGCCAAGGCCCAAGGAATGCCATTACCCCTTCATCCAGTAAGCAGTGTCCTGTGTCCTGCAATCGCCAGGACTCGGCATTTCACAAACCAGTGCAAACTGCAATAGACCTTTGCGAAGTATGGAGAGAGCGCCTCGGATGGAGCGTATGATGCAAAGCCCCAAATACTATTTGTTACGCCTGAGCTAAGAAGATATCTCCTCACAGGGCTTGCACAACACACCAAGTGCACACTGCAGGAGTGGGAGCTGGTCTCCAGGGAATGCTGACATTTTCTACAAAAGCTGGCGGAGAAGAGCAGGAGATACTATTCTTCACGGAGGGCCCCAGCTGATCCTGTCCTTATCACACCGCTGACGGCCAAAGCTACCAGACCCACACTTTGCATTACGGAACACAGAGCCCAGAGTCACTATTGTTGCCCACAGGTTGTCAACACTCCTACTTACACTGATAGACACACACAGAGGAATGGATCACGTGCCGGGAAGGTCCATGACATTTATGGAGGCGTTTAATTGCAAAGAACGCTCAGCCTGGACAGAGAGGCCATATGAGCAAACAGAAGCAGCTGCTTGCAGGGCCCCTAAAACACCTACCCACAGGGTACACCTGAGCACATGGACTCTGAGTGGAGGCTGACCTGTTCAGGTAGCAACTAACGTCTGAAAATCTCTAGTCCAAAGCTCCTCTATGAAGCTGCGGGGGCTCCCTTATCCAGATCCAGACAACCCGGTCTCTCAGACCCACGGGGGAACCTCTGCTATCTGGTGGCACCTGTGCCCCTCTCTGCTTCTCAGAAACAGCCCGTTGTAATAAGTCGCTTGCTGTGAAGTTAAACGCAAGCATTTGGTACTGGCTAATGGGTCAATTCCTTTTCCTCTCAAAGGTCTGGTTGGATTTTTTTTTTTATCTTCCTGCCTTCCTGTTCCCTGGAGTGTAGTATGCGTGTGCTAACTTCGGTGTGTCCTCAACCTGACCTCCCCGTCGTTATGTAAAATACCCATTGGTTCTGTAAACGGAAAATATGACTCAACCCGCACTGTCTGCCCCTGATTGGCTGCTTTTGCACTAAAACCCTGCACCTGTGCTGGTTACACGCTAGCGTCAGCCTGCCATTGCTTAACCCTCGGGTTGCCAAACTCCATGCACATGACATTCGCCTGTGCAATGCGGATTTCAAAAGCTAGCAAAGAGGTGTGAAAGGCATGTTTCAGAAAATACATCACCGTGTCAAAGGAGCATGTGCCGGGAATTGGAAACTTCTCCATTGCAAACACTTTGCTTTTCTTTGCTAATCGGTATGTTCCAATAATTCTTGCAAGGTCAGATACAAAGCCATGCTTTCTGGTAACTCAACCCAGTACCTTCTTTCTTTCTTTCTTTTCATTTATCAAATGTATTAGTGTAACACTGGTCAACCTGAACTTACAGGTTTCAGGTGTGGGTTTCTATATTACGAGATCTGTACATTTGCACCACGTGCCCACCGGTATTTTTTCATAGGGTTTGGAGTTCAGGGTGAAAAATCACGGCTGGGATCAGCCTTACCTGAATAGCTACAACCAAATAAACAACACACAGCCACCTCCACCATTCTACAACAATATTGCTTTTAATCTTTCCACAAGGGATGTGGCTCACCTCTTAAAATCAGGTAGGCTTTATCTCCTGTGGCTTCCTGAATTCTCTCGTCTAAAACCTCAATTCTGAATCTTAAAGGTCTCATTATTCTCTTACCAAGCCCGTCTTGTCTTCTATGAGGTAAGCCATGATCTATATTTAGCAACCAATTCCAGCCAACTTCCATTTATTATTCAGTGTGCCTATTTTCTAAAGACATAACCCAATAAGATGCCCACAAAGTCACCAGAGAATATAAAGAAAATATTAGGGGCCAAGCCTGAGTGAGATGGGACAGGAATGTGGTGTGGAGGAGGGCAGAATTTTGCAAATGCGACTGTCTCGCTAGCTCTGTGATACCTTCCAGGTACAAAAAACAAACAAACAAAAAACAAAAAACAACCCACTCAGTGAAAACAAGGATTTGAGAACTTCCTCTGGGAGTCAAGGTTGTGAAGGGCAGGTTGACATTTACCCCCAGTAGAAGTGACCTTTCTCACAACAAGGGAGAATAAACCTGATCCTGGGGTGAAGTGGTGAGGGCTTCCTGCCCTCACATGACACCCCACAAAAGCATCGAGGTGTCCCCAAGCCCCATCCACAAGGTGCAGAATAAGCCAGCCTTGGCCAGGGCTCCTCCGGAGAGCTCTCTGGAAACGAACCGGGACAACTGAGCCTTTGGTGTGGTTTTGAGCCACACACGGCACCTAATGGCTCACCCTGCACCTTCGTTTTGGCTCCCAAAGGCCACAGGAGGGGCTGTGGAGGCTGCTCACCTCTCCTCCGTGGAGAAGACGAATTTCCTAAGCTTCAGGTCCCCCAACACGATGGCCGACTGGTGACAGTGGGCAACGGCAGAGACGATCTGCTTGAAGAGCCGGGAAGCCTCCTCTTCCCGCAGCCTCTTCCGGCTTCGCACGTAGGAGTGCATGTCCCCAAAGTCCTTCTCAAAGAACACGTACGCCTTGGTTTCCCCAAGGATCACTTCCAA